AACTATGTAGCATTATACCAATACTTGGTCCAAACGAACCTTTGGTCGTATGTACTTTGCAGATAAAATTATGGGTACGCGTTTGTTTAGTTCTCTGTTAAAAATGATGTAAGTGTTAATAATTTGAATGGGTTACACAGAGAGCTGACTTATGTTAATGCTTTAAACTTACCACATATTTTCAAACTGTAGCACTACAGTATAATATGTGAGATCTATTGTGTAATATTGCAGTCAGACTTATTCCACATAATGAAGGAATATTTAGGTGTAAAATGAACCTATCACTTACCAAACTAATATGCCTTCTTAATAGCAGATTTCGTTTCTTTGACTGTTGAATAATAAAACTTGCAGTGTTGCATGCAATAGTCTTCGTGCAAAAATGTTCCTTCTTGCCTACTGGGGCATTTTTGACATTTTTCACATTCTAGTTAAAATCAGCATTGCTTTGCTAGAAAATTAGTTAGAACTTTCAAACATATATTTTCTGAAAGTAGAGTGCCTGGAGGATAAACATGGATGTTCAATTGTTTATGCTGTGAATGGCAAGCTCTCTTGCAGATGTAGCGGTTACAGAGATGAGACAAACCATTTAACACTGCCAGGGGTTCTGACAGTGATCAGTTTTTATTTATTATGTAAAACATTTTTCCCAAAAGAAAAAAATGTTGTTTTAACTGCTTATGAAGTGTTAGCTGGAGCTTGGTTTTAGTTTGTTAGTGTTTTTAAATCTGCTTGTACATCTAACACTCCCCTCCCCCCAGACTGGCAATGCTGATGTCCAAAAGTGCCCCATCCAGAGTGGGGGCACTCTAATACAGGAGGTGTGCTACTGGCCAGATCACCAGGTGAAAACAGAGAGAATAAAGACTAAAAAAAGAAAACAAATGCAGTCACCTCATCGAATGATTGATAAGCTGCTATATGGTTTTGTGTTTAATGCCGCTTTAAACATGAGCTATTGTGCTAGAAATATTGCTCTCACTCCAATGTTCACAGCAATACCTGTGCATGGGGGACAGGGGTTGCTTTATTTATTGTTATTTATTTTATTTAAATTTACTTCTTTACATATTTTCATTCAATTTTATTGCTATTCCAAGGGGTAAACAAGCCCATGATAGCTTTGGGCAGTGATAGGTACTCTTTATTGAGATCTATCTGACCCCTGATGTCTCCTTTGCTCTTTAAAACAGTTGTTCAAACACAGATCTGTTTGATCAGCTGCTCTCCTGGCTGTAATGGCCAGGGATAGACCGTTCTGAAACTGGAAGTGATGAGGATATCATCATTCATCACAGAGGAGATAAGGGAATGATTGGTTCTCTATCTCCTCTGTGGACAGCTTACCCAACTGCACCCGACTGCTTTCTGCAGTCCTGGGCTCCCCAGTGGAACAGCAGATTTCGGAAATTGTGATGGGAGGATAGAGGGCTCTGCAGCAATGTAAATTTGAACTGTAAAGCCTCCTGGATCACTTTTACAGGAAACTGATCGCCTCCTTTAGGAAACATTACCAGGAACATGGCTGCAGCTGCAGCCATGATCCTGGTCTAATCACTTGCTGCCAAAAATGTTTATTTACAATACATATGCTGGACAGCAAGCAGTTAATCATATTTATTACACCAATGAAAGGGTAATGATCACACCCCAAAAAATAAAACTTAAAGTAGAGCTTTAATCATTATGATTAGGTTATATGTTGCTACCTTCAGGTGATTGAACACTGGAAAAAAAAACTGCTGGGACTCGCTCTATAAACTCCTCCCATTCCCACCTAATGTCCGTTTTTTTGCTTGTGTTCATAAATGATCTACTGAGAGAAGCATACTTCTTATATGGAGGTTTACTCTCTCTCTCTCTCTCTGAATGATCTATTCCAAAGCCCTGTTCTTGAAGACCCCTGCAGGGGTAAGCCCATCATGGAGGGCAAAGCTAAGATTAGTTGATCATCTGCTTATCCTGTCTACTGGATTGTGGTGATTACAGGGCAGAAGCCCTTTTAAACTTTCAACCCAAGGTGCCTGTTTTGCTTTTTAACTCTGTTGGGGTGCATGGGTTGCCCTGTAGTGTCCACATAAGAGAACTGGTATGGCAATACTACTGCACCTGCATGCAACCCTCTGTGGGGCCCAGTGCAACACTGCAAATGGGCTCTTTGGCTCATGTCTGACCATAGCACTTTCTGTTTCTGTGCTGCCCTGACCAACAACATCTCCTGGTTATCTTTCTGCTGACAGCTCATTACAAGTAGCTATTATCACAATACCTGGGTTATTACTCCCTAAGTTCTTGCCACCAAGACTTTCCCTCTCCCTTTTCACTGCTACAGAGGTTGTGAGCATTTCCCTAGGGACATTTTCACCTAGTACCCTTTCCTATGATGGTTGTCCCCACTCTGATTTTCCTACCTTCCTTGGGTCATTAGGTTATCCCATAAGCTACAAGAGCTTCCACTTTTCTATCTATATAAGAGTTTTCTGTTGGAACCTGAGATGTCATGGGCAGAATTTCTGGCCTTATTACAATAGAGTTCAAAGTCTTTCCCTTTGACACCCCTTCTGAATCGGTCTTTGATTTCACTCTTGAGCCAGACACGGTACCTGAGAAGGAGGTGACACTTGAGGAGCATCCCTCAGCTTCAGGCATCAAATCAGTATGACATCCTGAGATTTCATCCAAGCTGAAGGATACCATAGCTACTCTTATTGATGCTGTATGCTCTTGTGTAGCCTTTGGAGCAGCTTAATTCTGCTCATCCTGGGGTTATCAGGTATGGTGTCCCTAAAGTTTCTTAAACTAGCCAATACCTTCCTACACCCACTAGTAGAGACTGCCCAGAGAAGATTTTAACTAATTCCCTACCAGTTCTAACATCCTCTCCTACATGTAAAAATTATAATTATTTTCTAGAAACTTACTTAGAACCCCCAAACATTATATATTTTATGTAGACTATATTGCCAAAAGTATTGGGACACCTGCCTTTACACAGCACATGAACTTTAATGGCATCCCAGTCTTAGTCCGTAGGGTTCAATATTGAGTTGGCCCACCCCTTGCAGCTATAACAGCTTCAACTCTTTTGGTAAGCCTGTCCACAAGGTTTAGGAGTGTGTCTATTCGAATGTTTGACCATTCTTCCAGAAGTGCATTTGTGAGGTTAGACACTGGTGTTGGATAAGAAGGCCTGGCTAGCAGTCTCTGCTATCATTCATGTTCTGTCGGGTTGAGGTCAGGACTCTGTGCAGGCCAGTCAAGTTCCTCCACCTCAAACTAGCTCATCCATGTCTTTATGGACCTTGCTTTGTGCACTGGTGCGTAGTCATGTTGGAACAGGAAGGGGCCGTCCCCAAACTGTTCCCACAAAGTTGGGAGCATGAAATTGTCCAAAATATCTTGATATGCTGACTCATTAAGAGTTCCCTTCACTGGAACTAAGGGGCCAAGCCCAACCCCTGAAAAACAACCCCACACCATAATCCCCCCTCCACCAAACTTTACAGTTGCAAGAAAAAGTATGTGAACCCCTTGGGATTATGTGGAGTTTCGCATTAATTGGGCATAAAATGTGCTCTGAACGTTATCTAAGTTACAATAATAGAAGAACACAGTCTGCTGAACATAATACTACACAAACATTAGATGTTGCCACGGTTTAATTGCACATAACATGTAAACATTCACAGTGCAGGGAGGAAAACGTATGTGAACCTTTGGACTTAATAACTGGTTGACCCTCCTTTGGCAGCAATAACCTCATGCCACAGCATTTCAGTCGGGTTGAGGTCAGGACTCTGACTGGCCACTCCAGAAGGCGTATTCTGTGCTGTTGCAGCCATTGTTTTGTTGAATTACTTGTATGCTTTGGGTCATTGTCCTGTTGCATCACCCATCCTCTGCGGAGCTTCAGTTGGCGGACAGATGGTCGTACGGTTTCCTGCAAAATGTCTTGATAAACTCTGGAATTCATTTTCCCATCAATGACAACAATATGTCCAGGCCCTGAGGCAGCCAAGCAGCCCCAAACCATGATGCTCCCTCCGCCATGTTTTACAGTGGGGATGAGGTTTTGATATTGGTGCGCTGTGCCTTTTTTTCTCCACACATAATGTTGTGTGTTCTTTCCAAACAACTCAATCTTTCAATCAGTTTCATCTGTCCACAGTATATTTTGCCAGTAGTGCTGTGGAACATCCAGATGCTCTTTTGCAAACTTCAAACGTGCTGCAATATTCTTTTTGGACAGCAATGGCTTCCTCCGTGGTGTCCTCCCATGTACTCCATTCTTGTTTAATGTTTTCCTTATTGTAGATGTGTCAACAAAAATGTTAGCATGTGCCAGAGATTTCTGTAGGTCTTTAGCTGACACTCTGGGATTCTTCTTTACCTCATGCAGCATTCTGCGCTGTGCTCTTGCAGTCATTTTTACAGGACGACCACGCCTAGGGAGAGTAGCAACAGTGCTAAACTTTCTCCATTTGTAGACAGTCTGTCTTACCGTGGACACATGAACATCAAGGCTTTTGGAGATACTTTTGTAACCCTTTCCAGCTTCATGCAAGTCAACAATTCTTGATCGTAGGTCTTCTGAGAGCTCTTTTCTGCGAGGTATGGTTCACATCAGACAGTGCTTCTTGAAACCAGTAAACCCAAAACAGGTGTGTGTTTTTTAAGGGCAGGACAGCTGTCAGCAAAACATCCAATATCATCACACTGATTGGAGTCAAGGTTGGCTCACTCCTGGCTCCAATTAGCTCTGGGAGAAGTCATTAAACTAGGGCTTCACATACTTTTTCCTCCCTGCACTGTGAATGTTTACATGTTATGTGCAATTAAACCATGGCAACATCTAATGTTTGTGTAGTATTATGTTCAACAGACTGTGTTCTTCTATTGTTGTGACTTAGATGACGTTCAGAGCACTTTTTATGCCCAATTCATGCAAAACTCCACGTAATCCCAAGGGGTTCACATACTTTTTCTTGCAACTGTACACTTGGCACAATGCAGTCAGGCAAGTACAGTTCTCCTGACAACCGCTAAACCCAGACAGAGAAGCGTAATTGATCACTCCAGAGAATATGTTTCCACTGCTCTAGAGTCCAGTGGTGGCGTACTTTACACCACTGTATCCGACGCTTTGCATTGCACTTGGTGATTTAAGGCTTGGATGCAGCTGCTCGGCCATGGAAACCCATTCCATGAAGCTCTGTATGCACTGTTGTTGTGTTAAATTTGGAGGTCTTTAGCTAATGACTCTCCAGACAGTTGGAGACTTTTGCGCACTGTGCGCTTCAGCATGCGCTGACCCCACTCTGTCATTTTATGTGGCCTACCATTTCATGGCTGAGTTGTTTGTTACAATATCAGTAACAGTTGACCGTGGAATATTTAGTAGCAAGATAATTTCACGGAAGGACTTATTGCACAGTTGGCAACCTATCTCGGGACCACGCTTGAATTCACTGAGGTTTTGAGAGTGACCCTTTCTTTCACAAATGTTTGTAGAAGCAGTCTGCCTGGGTGCTTGATTTTATACACCTGGGGAGGTGATTGGAACCTGAATCCAATGATTTGGAGTGGTGTCCCAATACTTTTGCCAATATAGTGTATATATGTCACACAGTATTTGTGCAGCAGTTTTTTAAACGGAAATATTTTAGAAAAAAATATTGTACACTTTAATGAATCTTGGTGCACATAGCCACAATATAATACTTATTTTTTGGTAAAATATAAAAGACAATATGCAGAGTAAATAGATACCTAACATGTCACACTTTAAATTTGCGTACACCTGTGGAACACTGCCAAACTACATTACCTAAAAATCTCAATAGACAATGCTCTAAAAGCCTTTACAGTTTACCAATTACACACAAGGTCTGGTGCTAGAATTATTATTCTCGCTCTGACATCTGCAGTGATGCCTCCCGTGTGGTGTGAACACCATTTACATATGCGTGAAGGAGTTGTGTATGCGTTCCCCTTTGCTCATGAACATGAAGTGGCTGGGATGCTTTAAATATTTATTTTATTTACTTTTTTTTTTTCAACGTCTATTTATTTATTTAATCACTTTTATTGCTATCACAAGGGATAGGCAATTTCTCTTGTGCTAGCTGGAGCAGTGACAGGTCCTTTTTACTGAGACATCTGGGGTCTGTTAGGCCCCAGATCTTTGTTCTGCCCTTAAAAGCAAGTCTGGTTTGATTAGATGCTTTTGCAAGGCAGTAATATCTTGTTTACATCCTGGTGAAACCAAAAGTGACATCAAGTCATCAAATCTGGTGTCTTATACCATAGAGATGACCATGGGGACGTTCTGGCAAGCTGACAGAATCGCTGACTTCAGTCCCAGGCTCCCAGTATAGTCACTGAAAGTCCAGGATGTCATATGACCTCCTACAGGCAGGAAATGGTTAACTACTCCAAAACATTTTGCCCAACAGTATCCTATTCAGAAAAGTTTCTTTTGTAAGTAAGTGCTTCTTGTAGTATCCAAAAAATAATTGTGAACAGTCTGCGCAATAAACACCCCCTAAGAAAATAATTATAAGTATATTTGCACCAAATTGTTGCTAGCTGAAGCACCTAAATGTGGTTTTCACTACACATAAAAACCAAATTAGAGTAATAATAGTGCAGCACGACAAGTAACAAATAGACTAATAATAATACTGTGCAACAAGAGAGACAGGTCCTGGACAGTTCTTCCCTCTCAGAGTCCTTTGGGTTCAGGAGAGAGAGAAGCCATACCTGTGTAAGTAAACCAGCAAATTTATACTTGCAAACACCTAGTTAGGCACATTTAACTCTTTGATTGCCCTCTAGTTAATCTTTTCACTGCCCTGTCACCAGTGTCGTTAGTACAGGGTACAGAATTTTTTTACTGATCAATGTATTAGGGTCATTAGTAATGTCAGATAGCATCAGCTAGAGTCATATAGTGTCAGATTTCCCACCACACTATATCCATCCATAATTAGTCCTTTGATTTCCAGCAATACTATCACAGTCACACTGTACCCACCATTACTATTACACTGTAGTGTTTGAACCGATCAGTATCTTTTTTCAGAATCAGAACTATACTAGTGTCCCCAAAAATGCTGTGTTAGCAGGATCTGCCCCGTTCCCTGCTAGCACTTGCATTTAATCCCCCCCTTAAGTGTAGTGTCATTGTAATTTCTGATCACTACCACTTCTGATATATTGTACATAAAAACTGCAATGTTAGCAATATTAGACCTTATCTCTGCTAACACTAGCGGTTATATTGTATTTCTAGCGCGCAGGCAGTCCCTGACAGCCAGGAGCTTTTTTTCCCATAGTCGTGCTAGGTACCTGTAAATTTAGTGCCCATAATGTCCCAAAAAAGATACACTAGTGAAGAGGACTACAGAATTCTGAGCCTCTCTGTCAGATACTGCCTCAGTATATGAACCTGTAGAAAGCACAGGCACCCTGACGGGTAACTCGGACGATGAAAAAAAGTCCCTGCTAAGATCAGGTGTACCCGTCCCCAGGTTGCTGAGGTGCTAGAAACACATGATTATTCCCATATGCAGTAGAGTGTTAATGCTAGCACTGCATTAGTTATTGGTGATCTGGCAAGCACCTGCATTCTGGCATTTTAGACAATAGCACTGCAATATCTCATAGTAACGTAGTGGCCACCAGCAGTGCAGTCCAAGCTTGTGAGGTGGCTAGCACTAGTAGCATCCCACAGCCACCCAGAATATGAGCACGGGCCCATAGAGCCCATAATGGTCTTCCAGAGGTGCTTGCAAATTCTGATTGGCAGCCCCCAGATTTAGCCACACTCGTTATCCCCCAATTTGCAGCCCAGCCCAGAATTCAGGTGGAAACAGGAAATTTAACAATATTTTTTTGTGCTGTTTTTCATAGAAGAACTGTATAATTTGATTGTGGACCAATCCAGTTTTATGCTGAATATGTGTTTCATGTGGAATCATATCATGGATTCTGAGTTTAACATTTTTTTGGGCCTGATCCTTAACATGGGCATTACAAAAAATAATGCATTGCAGTCATATTGGTTCACAGATCCAATTCATCATATGCTCATGTTCTCTGGTGCAGTGGCCAGGTGTAGATATAAAAGTATGTGTTTCATACATTTCAACTACAATACCCTCTGTCATCCTCGGGATGAGCCTGACTATGATCGGCTCCATAAATTTGACGTCTCATAAATTACCTTTCCCAAAAATTTGCAGATGTCTATACACCCTAACAAACCATCTGCATAGATGAGTCCCTTGTACATTTTACTGGCAGTCTTGCAACTAAGCAACATCTCCCAAGCAAGCCAGATAAGTGGTCAAACTGTATTAGCTCTGTGAGGAAGCAACAGACTATGCATATCATTTTTAGAAGTTACAAGGAAAAAGACAGTCATGTGGAGTCCCCCAGACATGGGAAGCAGTGGCAAGATAGTGTGGGACTTGGTGTCACCCTTGTTCTGTAAAGGGTAACATTTGTATGTGGACAACTTTTTCTGATCATATCACTTTTTTAGACACTTATTCAATGTTGGAATTGGCTACTGTGGTACCATGCGACCTAACCCAACACCTGAGTTGGAAAAGGAGAGAGAGCCTGCTTGCTCACTGAAAACCTACTTGCAGTGAAGTGGAAGAACAAATGGGATGTATTCATCCTGTCTTCCATTCATGCAGACATGACAATTCAAATTTTCATGGTATCTGGTGTTGTTGAAAAGCCTCTCTGTGTCTGCAATTATGATGTAAATATGGAAGACACAGACTTTAACAACCAAACAGTGAAGTTGTATTTAGCTGGCTGCACAGCTATACACTGATACAAAAAATGTCTTTATGTTTATTTCAGTTGGCTTTTTTATAATGCTTTTGATGATTTACAAAGCAACTGGAAGAACTGGATCCTTCCTAAAATTGCAGGAAGCGCTCGTTACAGTCCTTTTGTATTCAGAAGGTGATGTGGCCCAAACCCCAAATGAAGATGCAGTTCGTCAACTGCATGAGAGGCATTTTCCTGATGTCTTTCTTGGTACCCTGACCCAAAAGTCAATCCATCACCTGTTTTTCTGTCCTGACTAACCCGTCCCTCCTGTCCTGGCTGGCTAACTAATTCTGAGAACAGGGTGATGCTTCATCCAGATGCAATTTTTAGCAAGCACTCTGGATGAATTGCCAATTTTATATTCACTTGTTATATATTCATTTATTGATCATCCATTTATGAGTTGTTCTTCCTTTTCTTTCTGGTATGCATTTCATTGTCACTAATGATTTTATGTATTTAAATTGAATGTGCCATTATGTTGTGTGTGTGTGTGTATATATATATATATATATATATATATATATATATATATATATGTATTATTTATTAATTTTATCTGTCTTCTGTTGTTTGTTAATGAGATATTGTTTCCTGTTGACACCTTAGCCCATCCTCCGAACTTGAGACTGCCCAACCCAGTGGGGAGGGCCAAATTTCAATCTGTTGGTATAAAAGGGAGCAAACACTCTTAGTCCAGTTAGCTCTGATGAAGAGGGCATGGCCTTCGAAACGCCTCAGCTGTACTGAGTGTGTACCCCCAGGATGGGATTCACGCTGGCTCCTTATCTTTGAAGTCCTTTTGAGGACTACATGCCTGATTTTATTCGCTGTTTGTGAGTACCGTTCTTCAATTAATAAATTTGGTTACTGAGGTAATGCGCAAGGTTGGTGCGCTTCTTGTTTTTTTGTTTCACTTTTAAGAATATGTATGGTACATTTTTGTGGTTGGGTTCACCCCTAATCAGAATTTCTCATGTATCTTTGCACAAAATACAAGGGAGCTGCAGGACTCCCTGACATTAAGAAACATATCTCGGCCTGCCTGACCACAAGGATGGGAGTTTAGCATGTTGCTAGCAAAATAAAGGATACTAGCTTTTGTTTAGATATAGTGAGGTCTGGAATTGGCCTATGGAGCAGTGCCTACTACAGACTGAGTCTTGTTAAGGATGGTGCAGATCAGAATGTATACCAGACTGGGGTTTTGTGGTAATGCCAGCATATACAGTATAGGCATCCTCATTCTGAAACAAAGAGGATACCAAGAGTATAAACTTGGCTACCCATTCTGGGGTCATATACCATCAGAATTGTACTTTTTAATAATTTTCTTAGGCTAGAATAGATCATTGATTATTTAGCCATTGCCAACAAAATTTTATCCTATTCTGAGATATCTAATGATTTTCCTAGGTCTTGTTCCCAATTAAGGATATATTTTGTTTTAGTATTTGTTGTTTGTAGGGGAAAAAAGGGTAAAAGGGATATTTAGCCTGACAAGTATAGGTTTTTTGTACATCTACATTCCAATGAGGTCAATAGTAATGGACAGATTGTGGTTTGTTTACGGAGTGTATATCCATAAACTAGTGGGAAAAAAATCTGACTGAAGGAGCTGCCAGTGTTTTTGGGGATATGAGAACAATTGAATGCCATCCAGTGAAAAGA